TGAGTAGATACTTGACATTGGGCCTTTCTATACATCAGTTTTCTCATCTATAAAATGGAGATAAAGTCAGTACCCACCTCACAAGACGTTAGGGAAATGGAGAGTGCTCAGAACAGAACAGTGCGTAGCACAGAGGAAGCACAGCATAAGGTCTGGAACATCACTGAGGGACCAGAAAGTACAACCGTAATTCTGTATTCTCTTTAGATTATGAAACAAATAGTATTTGATACATGATCATACATTTACTTAGAAGACATCAGTTAATAGTAATGATTCATGGACTGTAGCAATCCAGTGAGTACTCACAGGGTGAAAGAGGTTTGAGTGGCGGAAAAAGGAACCTCAGAGCTTTCTGATTTATTTTGAGTCATGAGGAGATATAAAAATTCTGCCCTAGTAAAGTTTGTTTCGTAATGTTTTAGATAAGTAATACATTCTCATGGTTAACGGTATGGATGTGGTTTATTCATTCATCTATTTATATTTAAAATGAAAAGTTTTTCTTGCTCCCACCCCTGACCTCCATCCATTCAGTTTTTGCCATTCCCGTGTATACACATACGTGCTTGCAGTGATAATCACTGTTAGTTATTTTTGCTTATCTTGCCATAATTTCTTCATGCAAATCGCAGTAAATACTTACATATGCTGTAATCTTATTTTCCCCTCCTTTCTGCTGCAAAGGAAGTATAGCGTAAACAGTTGTAACCACCTTTGTACCCTTTTTTTACATCTTTAAGATCTTTTCATGTCATCGACCATAACAATAGTTACCTCATTCTTTTTTAAGCTGCGCATTATGCCATCACGTGGATGTGCTATGACTGATGGGCATATGAGCAGCAAAATATTATCAACAATGATGTTGTAAATAATCCCATAGACATTTCATTCTGTAAACATGCAAAGTATATCTACAAGAGGCATTCTCAGAAATGGGATTGTTGGGTCAGAGCGTGCATGCATTTGTAATCATCAGAGCACCTCTATTTATATTCCATTAAGGCTTAGTTTGGTTGACTAAAAAAAAATGTGTTTTTAAAAAATCTGGTCTGAAAGAATAACATTTCTTTGCATTTCCTCCTTTTGTTTCAAATTAGTGCTATAGAAAACAAAACATCACCACATTCAAAGTTCGAAGAAAGACAGTTCTGGTCAGGTCTAAAGGTAAGCAAAAACTACAAAAATAAAATCCAGATTTTTTTTTTAACCCAGTTTACTATAGAACAAATAACAGCAAACTTCTTCTGTAAGGACCAAATAGTAAATATTTTAGGCTTTGCAAGTCATATAGTTTCTGTTGAACTACTCAAGTCTGCCACTCTAGCACAAAAGCAGTCATAGAAGATAGGTAAACAAATGAACATGGCTGTGTTTTCAATTAAACTTTACTTAGGGAGACACTGAAATTTGAATGTCATGTAATCTTCATGTTACAAAATATTTTTTTTTAACAGTTTTTAAATGTCTTTTAAAAATGTCAAAACCATTCTTAGCTCATGGACCCTACAAAAACAGGCAGCAGGCTGGATTTAAACCACAGGCCATAGTTGGCTAACCCCTGGTCTAAAAGATAAAATTATTGCTAAGTCAGTGAATGTAGGGATAGTAAGGAGAAGATGGGTTCAAATGATGTTTAAGTTGAGCATTGAAAGGACTCCTCAATAACTAATTAATTATATGTGAGGCAATGTAGGGCCATAGTTTCTGAGTTTGACAACTTGGTGTAGCTTTAGGGACATTGTAGGGGATACAGGAAGAAGAAAAGGTTTGACAGGGAGGATAAGATCTGTTTGGGAACTAGCGAGTTGAAGATATCTGTGAGAGAAATAGACACATAGAGGACTAGGAAGTAGTTGGATATTTGAGTCCGAATTTCCGAAGACAGATCTGAGCTGGAAATGTGGGAGTCAGCCACATGTAGGCAGTATTTGGAGCCGTGGTCACAAATGACAAGCTCTGAGAAGACTGGATGAAGCTGAGAAGAAGGCTAAGGGAATACGGACAGAAGAGGCAGGACAGAGAAAGTAGAGGCAAAGTAGTTCAAAGAAACTTTAGAATGAATTGTGAGCCTTAGAAGGGTCACAAGAGAGTGGCCACAAGGAAGCAAAATGAAAGATTTTCAAGAATGAAGAGGAGTGTTAAATGCCACCAAAGAGAATGAGGAGAAAGACTGAAAATGTTTATTGGATTTGACAATTAGAAGGACATGAATAACCCCAGGAAGAATAGTTTCAATAGGGTGAATTAATGTTTATGATGTGGTTGAGTCAGGAAAAGGCTTTCTAGGAAGACAGAGGAACATCAACAGTGACATAAGGTGTGAAAAAGCATTACATGTTAATAAAACTGCTTGTAGTACAGCACTCAGAGTAATAAATACAGTACTGGAAAGAAAGTAGGAAATACCATAAAATTCACAGAAAGATCTAGATGTAGAGGGAAAGACAACCGATATTTATCTTTTTAGAATTTATTATGAGTTCTTTACCCAAGTTATCTTCAAACTCACAGGTCTGAAGATAATTTTATTTTATACATCAGAGCAATGAAGCTCTCAGTATTGATTGACTTCTTAAGGTCACACATAGGTAACAGTGGCACTGACTTTGACAGCTGTCCTTTATGAATCCTGGGGTCCGGTGGTCTTATACTCAACAGCCCCAGCCTCTGAGAGAGAACAGGTTGAGGAAGAAGATCATTGTTCTGGAAAGGCTCCAGTGAAGTTATTTGAGATAGATTTGGAGGTGAAATGAAAATAAGATGGAGTCAAAGTCATAGAGACAAAAGATAGAATGGTGGTACCATGGTTGTGGGAGGGGAGAATGGGAGTTAGTGTTTAATGCGGGGGGAGGTAGTTTTAGTTTTCCAAGATGAAAAGGGTCCTGGAGCTTGTTGCACAACAATGGGAATGCAATTAACATTACTGTACACTTAAAAATGATTAAAATGGTAAATTTTATGTTATACACCTTTTACCACAATTGAAAAAACACAACAAATTCAAAAACACTCATATTTTCTTCAAAACAATTCAAATCCTTTGCACTTCAAAAGATACCTGTGAGAGACTATTTACAAAACATATCTGATAAAGAACTTGTATCCAAATAGCTCTTACATTTAAATAAGATGAATCCAATTAAAAATGGGCAAAAGATTTGAATAGATATATCTTCAAAAATATATATATATTTAAAAAAATAAAATAAGATGAGCAAATACATGGAGGTTAGAAAGAATCAGGTATTTATTCAGAGATGTTCTATACGAAAATTGACAGTTCCAACAGCTAATTGTAGTGAGAGTTTAAGAGTTTGACCAACTCTTTATGTTTCTTAGAGACTATTACAGTTTCTCTTTCAAGAAAAGGTGCATATTTATTTGATATCTTATTTTAGCTCTTCAGCAACATTCTTCTTTGGAATGGACTCCTCCCAGATGACACCTTGCGAGAGTTAGGACTAGGAAAGCTGCTAAATCGTTACCTTATCATATCTCTTCATAATGCTATACCCGGGCCAGATGTTGTTAAAAGGTGTAAACAGGTAAGTTGTGTAGGAACTGATTCTAATCTTATCATTTTTAAAAATTCAGTTATTAAAATCTATTTTGTAGCAAAAATAATTAAAATTATGGTACTCACATAAAAATAGACAAATCAGTTTAACAAATTAGAAACCCAGAACAGCTCCTCTGTATTTAAGTAATAGTATACTGGTTTGAGATATCACCAGTAGGGAAAGGAAAACTTACTTAATAAATGATGCTCGAACAACTGTCTGTTTACAAAAAGAATTTTAGATCCTCACTTCTTACTACATATCAATATAAATTTCAAGTGAAATAAAAAATTAAATGTAAAAAGAAATTTATGTGGTATACTAAGATGATGAATGACTGAGAGTGAGGGAGTCCTTTCTAAACTTAAACGCAAAAGAAGATATGACGTAAAAAAGTAAAAGATTTGACAAAAATGTGAAACTTCAGTAGATCAAAAAAAATAAGCCAAAAAGCTTATTGATCATTATTAAAACTGGGGGATGTGTTCATTGGGTTCACTATACTATTCTTTCTACTGTTGTTTAATACCCATATTAAATAAAAAAGCTTTTTACAAATCAGTAAACAATTCAAATGTTCTGATTAAAAATGGCCCAAACACAGGACAATGGTCAAGTCACCAGAAAAGGTTGAATAAGCCAGACGTGGTGGCTCATGCCTGTAATCCTAGCACTTTGGGAGGCTGACGTGGAAAGATCACTCGAGGCCAGGAGTTCTAGAGCAGCCTGAGCAACATGACAAGACCTCTTCTCTCCCAAAAATTGAAAAATTAGCTGGGCATGGCACACCTGTAGTCCCAGCTACTCAGGGTTGAGGCAGGAAGATCACTTGAGCCCAGGAGTTTGAGGTGGCAGTGAGCTAGGATGATGCCACTGCACTCTAGTCTGGACAACAAAGCAAGACCCCGTCTCAAAAAAAATTTTTTTTTAAAAAAAGAATAAGTAAAAAATAACCTTTAAACACGTGGAAATAATTAACAATACTAATGATCAGAAATGCAAATTATTTTATAAGAAAGATATTTATTTTACCAGTAGTGTTGGCAAGCATTTTTTGGCTGGTGTTTTAATTATAATTCCCAATGTTGCATAAGCACAGAGAGGCAACAGTCCCGTCATTCCCAAGGCACCATTCACCTAGAGTGTTCGATATGGTAGTTCTGGAAAACAGTCTCCTGCACTGGTGAAAGGAGGGATACAGCAGCTCTTCTGGAGAATATTTTGGCACGATAGTTACAAAACTTTTAAAGTTTATATGCTTCGACTCAGCCAAACTAAGTCTTCTGGAAATGCATCCTAAGTCAAAAATCAGAGATGCACATACAGATTTTAAGATAAAAGAATATTGTTGTAGCATCATTTATAATAGAAGAGAGTTGGAAACCACCTAAATGTCCCAAAAAGCATTATGGTCTATTCATAAGATAAAACTTATATTGTTGAAGAATTTTAAGAATATAGGAAAATATATATTTTATAATTTTAAAAATAAATAGCACATGAAACTTTATATATCAGTTCTTAGCCAACCATGATTTTTCTGGCTATAGTTTTTATATCATGCAGTTTTAAACATACATCAGAATATAAATCATCACCCATGTTGTTAAACTGTCCCCTTTGATCATAATTGTCTACTGTGAAGTAGAGAAGAGGAAATATATTTACACAGTATTCTCTCCACAACATATGGTTAGAAAACCAGGCCAATAAAATATGACTTTAAGTCCTGAGATCATTATGGAACAACTGCATAGTTAAATGAGAATTTTATTTGAGACTTATAATACAAAACAAGAGGAAAGCAAGTGCAAATGACATTAAATTCCAAGCCATTAAGGCCTGCTTTTAAAACTTTTAAAAAGAGATAGAGTTTGTGCAACAAAACCTGTAGGGCCTTCTGCCTTAGGCAATCGATGTTTCTGTTTTTTCTGAATAATTAAAAAAGGTGATTAAGGAATAAAATAAGTCTTTTTCCTCAACCATGTTTTTAATGCTAACCAACCAGACTTATTTTAGAAAAAGTGCATTCTATAACTTTAATATATTTTATAATACATATTTGGTACATTTTAATTTTTTCCCCAACTCTCTACTTTCTATAAATATTGATCCTGACCTTACCAACTGTAATATAACCTATTTGATTGTCCAGAAATTTCTTTTCATAGTGATATCAGGTTTTCCTTCCTCCTTTTCTCTCTTTTTTCTTTTTTCCTTCTTTCTGCTATGAGGAATTTTTTGTTTTTTTTTTTAATTTTCTTTTTTTAACATTTTTCTGTTTTATCAAAACTTCCCCCCAGATCTTATATTATTCTTAGGATGATGATGATGATAAAATGTTATTTTTTCTCCCTAAAATTGAATGTACCTACATTGACTTACTTTGCTGCCATGGACATTTAAAACAATGTATTAAATTGGTAGAAGATCAAAACCATAATTAATTTATCTTTCATTCTATGTATCTTAGTAAAATCACTCATTTGATTCCTTAACTCTAATTTTTTTATATAGATCATATACCCATTTTCTTTATGAAAAAATAATGTATTTTATGGTTGTGTTTACTAAAACTGTCTTCTATCTAGACATTTCTAGGTTTTAGTTGTAAATTATATTTTGTGCAGATTTAATGGCTCAGGAATACAAGAATATAGAAAGAATGACAAGTATACTGAGGCATGTTCATAGTCTATTTTACGTTCTTAGCATTGAAGAATGGATTTTTTTTAATGTATATAACCTTTGAGAAAAGGAAATTTTTATTTAACCATAAACTATAAAATGGGGAGACTAATACTCAACTCGCAGTATCACTATGAGATTATGTTAGTAATAGTCCTTAGATAACTGTCATTATTATAAACCAGCATATGTTTTGATTAATAGATAGCAGCATGTCTACCAGAAAAATGGTTCGAAAATTCTGCCATGAGGACATCTATTCCCCAGCTAGAAAACTTCATTCAATTTTTATTGCAGTCTGCACATAAATTATCTAGAAGCGAATTCAGGTAATGCATATTTTATTTTCACCTCCATAAACATATTTCAAGGATCTGTATGCTCTCAGCAATTTTAACAAAGATTAGTATTTTTACGATACTTTAAAATCTTTGTGGAGCCTTTATGATAGATTTAGTGGATATTTTTATGGTTACTTTTGGGATGGTCATGCATGTTCATATTTTAAAATGTAAATGTCTTCCAAAATAAGCACTTCCGAAAAACTAATATAAACACGGGGCAATTTAGAATTAAAACTATAAATCTAAAACTTTTATTAAGCATTTTTAAGATGTGTTTTAATTTTCTTGGCCATTTTTAAAGACTCAACCCTTGTTAGATATAAGTGTGCAGTCTGGTATTACCCAACAGTAGCTACATCTCCATTTTGAATGTATCATTCACAACACGAGATGTTTAGGGGCATAAATACAGTGGTGTTCTTGTAAACCACCTCTCCAAAAATAAGAATAAAAAAGTCCAGATTTGTAGCAATTGCTAATGTCCATGGTGTAAATACTCCCACCATGGCTCCCACTACAATGTCCCATACAAGCTGGTAGCAGCGCAGAGCTACTAAAATTTCTGATTATAGATTTACTCTATTCCTTTCTACTTTTTACAGTGATTAACATTGAAATTTTTCAGAATACATCCACTAATAGCCTGTATTTGAACTTTATAATTAAGTGAAGAAGGCACATCTTTCTGTATTTTATGCTACTTTAGATACTGGCTAATAAGGTAAACTCTTGTTTTAGATTAATGACGATGATTAGGTCCTGAATTGACCACTGTGCCCTCATCCGTTGCATTTTAAAGTGGGGAAATGCTTTCTTGTTTTGTCTTTCAGGGATGAAGTTAAAGAAATAATTCTTATTCTGGTGAAAATAAAAGCTTTGAATCAAGCAGAATCTTTCATAGAAGAGTATCACCTAGACCATCTTAAATCACTGATTAAAGAAGTTTGAGGAAACTTTATAGAAAAGTGCTAAAATTAGATTTTAATATAATTACATTCAGTTCCTTTGCTTGAATAAAAACCTGTTGTCTCTTCTTTATTCCCTGTAATGGGAAAAACACAGGACTCCATCCACCCCTCCATTCCCTCCATGCTTTCCCTTCTGGTATCATGAAAGGCTGCCTTGATTCTGTGATGTTTGCAGGAATTAAATGCATAGGAGCAGTTAAGAGTTCAATGTGTTTCCCTTTGATTCTTTTGACTTCTTTACCAGATTTAAGAGGGGAGCTGGAGAAACCTTGTTTATAGCTGTTTTGGCTTAGCAGAGCATGCTGTTTACTAAGTCTTCTGAACTGTAAATACGTCTTTTAGTTCTCTTTAACTACCTCTATTTAAAAATAAATGTGGAAATCTTCATTGGAATGAATTATTTGTTAAGTATTAAACAAGGCATTTTTAAGAAGTTTGATAACTGTCAAATTGTCCTTTAGAAATCTGTACCAACTCATTGTACCAACACAAGTGTAAGAGAGTGCCAATGAATACCCACCAGCAATGAGTATTTCATTTTTAAACTCATTGCAAATTTGATAAGTAAAAAGTATCTTATTTTAATTGCTTATTTTGTTTTGGCTATTAGAGAGTGAACATGTGTTGGTTTTGGCCGTATGTAATTTATTTTTGAAATATCCATCTTTTTCTTACAGACTTATAAGACCTTTATATTTTAAAGATATTGATCTTTTGCCTGTGCTATGTGGCAAATAGTTTTCCTTATTTGCCACTTCTCTTTTAATTTTGTGTATGATGTTTTTTGGTATACTAAGTCACTGCTTGATAGCAAGTTACTGCTCATATTTTTTGACACTGGTGGTAATGGTTATTTTAAATATTCAGAACATGTGATTCACTTTCTGATAAAATATTTATCTAATTAAGGAAGTCTGGGGAAGGGTAATTTAATCAAAAAGAAATTAAGAAAATTTTTCAAAGCAAGAGTTTACTAGTAATTTTTTTAAGTCTATTTGCTAAATAACTCAAAGGCAACTGAAATATGTTTTGCAAATTCTTGCCCAAAAGATAATTGGAAAACATTAATTATATTGTAGGATTTGAATGTGTGGCCTACTTTTATATCACCCCCTACTTTTGAACCTGCATATAATTTAACAGTCGGGTGTGTTATTTCTACTGCAGTGAAGACTTGTGATTTGCTGGTGTAAAGGATTTTTTAATATTAGCTACACAAATTATACTAGAATAGAATCTCATCTAAAAAATTCAAAGCATTGTTGAAAAAGCATTTAGCATTCACACTGTTGTCCCCAGAGGTAACAGCTGTTTTCATTTTAATGTTATCTTTTTAGACCTTTTTACTATTTGCAAAAGTGTGTGTGTATATGTACATAAAGCTTTGTTTTTTACATACATGGTAGATACTTTATTGCATATGAAGTTTGTA